TCACCATGTCTATCTGATTTGCACAAAATCAAACTCAATTTGGCAAATGTGCATGTCCTGCCAAGCCTTTACACATCATCACACTTCAACTCCTGTCCAGTTTCTCCTCCCTCTTCTTTTCGGAAGAACCATCCTTTGTGTCCTCACAAAGCACCCCGTGCTCCTGCAGAAGCTGGCCTCCACATCACCAGGTGTCACAGGTCTCCTGAAGCACTGCTGCAGGGCAGTCGACGGCCCGTTCTCACTTCTTATCCTCCCACACATGCTGCCTTCTGGGCTTCCCAGACTTCTAGCATGAGAGGTCCATAGGCCCTGGACTCCCTGGCTCCTTGCGAATATGCCAGTATTCACCCAGCTGCTCTTGACCCTGGGACTGAGATGAAATGGAGATCCTCCATTCCCAGAGTTCCTTCCCACTGGGACTGTCCTCAGGCCCAGGACTTTGCCTTGTGACTGGGATCACAGACTACTTTCTTACTGTCTCCCAGTGCTGGGGCCTCCTGATGCCAGGTCTGCCAGGATGTGGCATGAATTTTGTCTGCCCATTTTTGGCTGTCCAGACCCCCTCCCTGGCTGGCTTCCATGCCCATATGTTTAATGGGACCCAGTCAAAGAGAGGGGTCAGTGGTCAGGGAGGCAGAACAGGGGCTTGCTTTTTCCCTCAGACACAAGGAAACACTCTAAAGCTTGCCCCACCAGCAGAGAAGCACAAGTGGGGAGGGAAGCTCACTTGTTCCAGCTGGTATGGGCTGGAACGTCATGTACACACCTACCCCTACCTCTGGCAGTAACCTCACCTCACTGCAGAAACCTGACATTAAAGTGCAGGGCATGTTCTCTTGTAACTTCTGTTTCCATCCCACATTGGTCTGCCCTTCAGCTGGGAGGACCCGGGGTCGTGGTTGACTTTAGTAGTTGAGTATAAGGGGATAACAAGTACCCAGATTCACACAGGACTTCCGCTTAAATTTAAGGCATTTAATGTTCCTGAGCTTGCATAATGTAATGCAAATTCAAGCAGGTGGTAAGTATATTTCCATAATTTCATAGAAGACAAATGCCAAAACTAAAACAAAGTGAATGTAGTTTGTATAAAGGATACCCTCATTAATGAATCAGAGGAAAATCATAATCCCATAAAGAATATTGGAACAGGCACTAATGGATAAAATATAGAAGTAACATTTTAATAACGCATGTGACCATGTTTTTATTAACAAAGAAAGTCTCATTTCAAAACACACATATCTTTGAGAGGAATCTGAAATTAATCCTCAACAGGCTGAAATCCATACCATTATATGTTCTAATTATAATTACAACCTGCTCCTAACATAAGCATTCTAAATTATTAGGCATTTTACTAAGAGCCAGAAAAGGGACTTCTTGATACATAACGAGAACTGCTTTCCAGCTGGCAGAGTGAGAAAAGCAAGAAACAATTCTGCACTGAGCTGGAAAAGGGTGAATACCATTTATTTAGTAAAAAGTGCTTAGGTTCTTTCTTTCTTTCTTTCTTTCTTTCTTTCTTTCTTTCTTTCTTTCTTTCTTTCTTTCTTTCTTTCTTTCTTTTAGTTTTTTCCTTAGGAACTGGTACACCCTCAGGGGCTCAGACGCCACCAGGCTTCAGAGCTGCTATTTCTGGAGCAAGATAAAAATGTATATCACAGAAAAATAACAATTTATCATTGTAATGGTTCCATCCCACTAGAGAAACCACTAGAGACTGCTTAACATTTTTATTTCAAACATGCTTCTCCCCAGTCTTCAGGTGACAAAAAGATACTGATGCCAGAAGCTTTTTTTTCTATTTGTTCTTAATAAAAATGGCTCAATTCTGAGTTTGTCTTCATCTGGGGTGATGTTAAGGTCTTCTGTGTGCTCTTTCTGCCAGTCTCCGAAGGCAACACCTGGGCTCTGTCACTAAGGAGAGGTGGGCTCTTCTGCATCTGCTCCTGTCCCCAGAGGCCTCTGCCAGAGGGCAGCAGGCTCTCTGAGCAGATGACGCAGGGACTGCATTTTTCCCTGGTTGGAGCATGCTCAGTGCTTCCTTACCCTCAGAACCCACCGTGTATCTGCCCAATTGTCCTCATTAGAGAGGGACTATTCCTGGGCTTTCTAATGCTGTCTTTGGACTTACTACTTTTCTTCCTTTCCTTTATCAATCTAAGTTATTTTCATCCAACCTTGAACCTAAGGCTAGTTTCCAATCACTTTGTTAGTGCAGTTATTCACCAATTAGAGGCTCAGAATCAACCTGTATTTCTTTAGTGCTGCAGTGACATCGTCCTTCATATTTCCTCCCGGGGTTAAGGCCTCACACATCAAGACATCATCTATTTAATTTTTCTCTTTTTCATCCTCTTAAGGAATAAGTATGACATGTTGTACCTTGGTTATAAGAACTAAGGCTTCATAGAGTAGTAATTATCATTTTTACACATTTTTAAAAAAATTCAACACTAACTTTGAATCAGACAGTAAGGTGAGGACATTGGAGGATAATCTCATCTAATCTTTCCAGCAGCACCAAGAGATAAATACCATTCTGTAGAAGAGGATGCAACTGGAGCTCAGAGAAGTTGAGTAACTCACTCATGGTCACACAGATGGCAGAGGTAGCGATAAGACCTGAACCCAGAGCCGGCATTCTCAGTCCTCACAGTAGGCTCATTTATGCTCTTCAGAATCAGACTGAGCCCTGGAGGCTAAGCTGCTGTATTTCTCAGGTGGAGGCAAGCGTGTGGTGAGTCTCTGACTCCATCCCTTCTCAAATGTAATCACATCTCTGAACAGTTGGAAGCTTTTTTCTCTGGAGTCCATAGGGTCGGTCCTCATGCTACAGGATGGGAAGTATCTGTGGTCCACACACTGGGGCCTACAGGGAGAACCCCAGCACCTGGGCCTCTGGGTCCTGAAAGGGAAGCCAGCAGCAGTCCACACACATGGAGGAAAGGCCAGGGTATACCTGCCTCTGACAGGGATGTGCATTTTGGACACTACTTCAAGTCCCAGGTGTTTCAATCTGATCAGCAAATAGGAACTACCCTCCAAAGGAGAAGAGTGGTCCCATAACTTTCTTAGGCATAGCCTGCTGATGAAGGCAGGAATGTAGCTTGCCTGTGGGCTCCAGGACATTTGGAGCAGTGGACATTCAGAGCTCAAGCCAGGCCTGAGGGCATGAGCTGGGCAGACGACGTGACTTGCTGCATGTAATTCTACACGAAGAGTCACCCGTGGAGGAGACAAAGTCTATGCTGATGACTTGGCACTTGGCCTATGACTTGCATAAACAAAGTGACATTCTGGTTTATGTAGCAGTTATTGCTAAATCCTGTTAAAATGACTCAGTTTCCCTCAGCCTGGCATACTGTCGTGTTTAGGTCAAATGTCAGGATCTGCAAAGAAAGAGACCTCACACTGTATCTTAATAACTTGTAGGGGAGTGAATTTTCTGCCTGTCCCTGGTCCACATGGCCCTTCTCCTTGCTCCTCTCTTTCCCACGAGGAGCACTGGCAGAATTCAGTCCTAGTCAGGAAGCCAAATGTGGCCATGTACTCTAGGGGTCAGCTGCAGTCACTGTGTATGTGCAAAGGTGGCACCAGGGTGTGTCCCTAGGCCTCCTGCTCCTGCCCCCATGAGGAACCTGGGCTTCCAACATGTTTTCATCTAAGCCTTCATGAGACTATTTTAGAGTTGGTCCATAGAGGGAGGGAAGAGAACAGGCTGCCCCAGCCCCAAGCTCCCAGTGCAGAGAGATATTGATCCAGGAGTGAGACAGATGTTGTCCTTTTCCTCAACTGTCATGAGATACCCCATTAGGTGGGGAACATGAAGCACATGTGACATTTTTTAAACTCACACTTTCTTTGTTTCAGGAGCCCATGGGACTAGTGCTGGGCCTTCCTGTAGCTAGTGTAGAGGCACTTGGCTCCTTTGGAACAACATGGTTGGGGAGGGAGGGTGGACAAAGGATGGGGAGGCATTCCTGGGTGCCTGGCCACAATACCTGCACTGACTCCTATGGACCCCCTCAAGGGTCTCTGCCCAGGAGATGGAGTCCGAGATGCACTTGAAGCCTGGTCCATCAGGTGTAGTGAGGACCAAACCCAACTCTGCTTTCTTTGGCTGGTAGTAGCCTGTTGTGATGGAAAACCCCACACAGAAACAAGCTCAGTGAGCCCCTGGCCTTTCTCTTTCAATAATCTCCTGTGTGGTAGGGTCCTGATGGCAAGTAAAACAGTGATTTCTGAGATTAAATAACAACTTCAATGACAGTTTGTTATGGCTCTTACTTAGTGTTTAATGTTTCATTTTATTTTGGTCTTTTGAGGTCAAAGTAAATATTCAAATTTTTCAATATAGTGTTACTGATGTATCAGGCTGGATAATTCTTAGTTGTGGGGCACTTGCCTATGCCCTGTGGGATATTTGGCAGAGTCCTTGGCTTCTTTCCACCAATTACACTGCCTGCCTCAGACACCTGAAAATGTTCCCAAACATTGCCAAAAGCCCTCTGGAGAGCTAAAGTGCTGAGAATGACTGATTTAAAAGGCTGACCTAGTTTCTTGCTAACTTGAGGACTAAGTTAAAGTAGTAGATTTGGCACTTAGAATTCCTCAGGGGGTAGCCTGGCCAAAGCAGCCCTACCTCACCTGTGCATGTACTCTCCCATTTATTTCCTCAGGAATGACAGTCATTGTTGGGCAGAAGGCTACCTTAGAGCGGCCAGCGTCCTATCAACTGGCTTCTGTCTGGTGCCATTTGCAATTATCAGGCTGTAATAAGTGAATAGTTCCTGATGGGTTTAGTGTTGGGATCTGTGGGAGATCAGGAAGCTGGGACCTGGTTTATGACAAATTTCAAGTCTTTGAGGCCCTAAGCAAAACATGAGATTCAACTTGGTGTGAGGATTGTCCTTTCTCTGCAGCCGCACTCACAGATAACCCACAGAGCCCTGAGCCACCCAAAGACAAATATTCAACAAAAGCCAACAGACCTCTGTGAGTGTGGGCCAGGGACAAGGAAGTGATGTGGTGCAGACACAAGTTCCAGGCATTGAAGAAATCCTCTTTCTTGGTCACCACCTGTCAAATTGATGGAAGAAAAATAGCCACTGGTGATATTCTGAGAGAACCAAACTCAGTAGCCAGATAGACCACACGTGCACTAAAATGTCAATACAACATTAAGCATGGGCATGGTACAAAGCCTTTTGTAAGGCAGACTTTGACACACAAAAATGGCTTGTTTGAATAAATGTCATAAACCATATATGGTGAGTCCAGCTTCCATGTTTATGTCAATTTCTCACATATCAAACATGGCAGCTAGCCAAAGTCAATCCTTGAAAGGTAACAACAGATGTTCAAGAAACAATGTGAAGACACAGAGACACACATGCAGATAAAGTGACTCTGCTTTAATAGGATCACTCACTGCCTGAATAATTCTAAGATGAAAACTATTTAAATCTAATCTCCAAAGAAAGTCTACTTCCACTTCTCTCCTTCCTTCCTTCCTTTTATTATAATTAGAGGGTTCCACTGGTCTTCAAATTGCTTTTTGAGCACCTGTTATATCTCAGGAACTGGCATTTGGTAGTGTCTGATATAGAATAGGTATTCGGTCTATCGATAGAGATGAGATAGTAACATAATCCGTAGTATGTTTGTGTTTATTCTTCCAACAGATCCTTTTTGTGTCTCTCCTCTGCATAAGACTATCTTTCACTTACTCCAATGAAAGGAATCTTATTTCTTTGTTTTTCAGTTGGAGGGAAGTGGGGAAGTACAACCACAATGAAATTAGAATGAAGAAAACACACAAAGAAGAGAAAGATGCCGCATCATGAAGCTGGGAGTCATAGTCATTTAGGTGGAGTTAAAGGCAGATCCTTATCTGACCATAGAAAAAGAATTAAATTTGGTACTTCTGACTTTTTTCTTTGTTCCCTCTTGACTTTCTTTGTTTCAGAAACTGAATGGTTTGATATTTAAACATTTGCCTTTTTTGTGTTCAAGGCAATAACACTCAAATAGAAAGTCAGACTCAGTGTCCCTACTTCTCATTTGTTTTTAACTCACACTCTGATGAATCCTCTCATTTGCACAGTAGCCTGCTTCCCTGTAGCTCTGCAGTTTCTGCATGGCCTGGCAGGTCTTGCTATGTAAAATGTCTCCTATAATAGAGCACTTTGTCCTCTAGTGGAAAAACAGTACTGCAGAAAGCCTCTGCCTATGCATAATTCAGCAGGATCACCTGGGGCAGGCAGGCACAGTTTGGAGGACAGTGTCATGTGTGCTCTGAGTTCCCCCACCTAATGGGGCATCTCATGACAGTCGAGGAAAAGGACAACATCTTTCTCACTACTGGATCAATATCTCTCTGCACTGGCTCACAATTACTACTGAGGAGGCCTGGCAGAAACAAGCATGCCCATGGAGAGGTCTGCTCAGAATCTATAGCAGGAAGGAAGACAAGAGCCAGGCAAATATCCCTGGAAGTTCTGGAAGGAGGTCCTGAAACTCTGCCCACCACACTGAAGAGGATAAGGTCAGGAAATTCTGGTGACAAGCTCTGCTAAGCATGTACTGAACATTTTTCACCATTGCAAGGAAGGCAGGATCTGCATGGTGTAGATATGTCCCAGTAGACCTGAGGACATCTTTTAATTAAAAAACAAAACAAAACAAAAAAACCTTAGAGTAAGTTTTTCACTGGCTTGATCAAGAGAAAACCAAGGACAGACAACTGGCAGGAGAAGAGTCCCCAGAAACAGAAACAGAGGGCTCTCTGCAAACCCTGCTGTGATGGCAGCCCTCAAAAAGTGCAAGGGAAAAGGAAAAGGCAAGTTCAAGTTAAGGAGGGAAGGCCTTTGGCTATCTAGCTCCTAGGAGCTTTCCCTTATAGATCACCATCCCAGTGCTGCTACAGGACACTAGGACAGGCCATCCCTGCTGGCAAGAGACTGCTAGTCCACCTCCATAGCCAACCTAGGCAGGAAGGGGAGCACCAAGGCCCCAGAGTATACTGACAGAAAGGTAAGTTCAGTAGGGCAGATGTGCAGCAAAGCAGCTGATGGAGAAGCTTCAGTGTCTTTGAAACAGAATTTAGGGGTAGAAAAAAAATAGGATGAAGCTGACTTGTACCATGGTCTATATACCCAGGTGGGCTGACCCCAAAACAGTGTGGTGGTATCATTCTCTTCCACTCTCAAGCGGTCCAAATAAACATATCAGAAAGCCAAACTCTGTCTTGGGCTCCAAGCATAGAGACAAAGTCAACTTAAAGAATGTCACTGCCCATAATTATATGCCATAGTGACATGCCCATAATTATTGTGCCTATGCAATGCACAAGATTTTATATGTACTTACTGTGCAAACAATATTGTAAAACAATGGAAATCAACTCTCCCACCCTAAAAAAAAGTTCACGTGAGGTTTCAGGAGAAAGGACTTTTAAAATGATGCAGTCCTTTACTCTAGGCAGTAAATCTGCTGCTGAAAACCTGTGTGTAAAATAGCCTTATGCAAACTAAGTCTTAAAATGCACCAGGCACTGCTTTAAGTATTTCGTTGCATTTGTTTACTTAGTCTTCAGAAGCCCTGGTGGCAGACATTGTTAATTTCCAATTTGCAGATAGAAAACTGTGTCACAGAAAGGTTGAATAACCTGCACACGTTTGCACTGCTGAGTCGGGACTGGGCACCTCTGCTTCTAACCATAGGCTACACTACCTCCCAAATGGACCGAGGGTGTGAGTGTGTGGGTTCCTGGCAAAACCCACCTCCAAAACACGTTGTTCATGAAGATGCATTAGCACACATGGTCACATTTTATGTAAACCATATTCCATCCTTAAAGTGTCTAATTAAGAGATACATTTATTTCCTAACAAATCATCACACAGCTCAAACACAGAACTAAAGATATATAGAAACACCTTCCTCATGAAGAGTGGTCACATCTACACCCCTTGTTTTCTTCTCTTTCTTTTTTTCTGGTACCAGAGATCAAACTCAGGACCTTGAACTTGCGAGGCAGATGCGGTGCCCCTGAGCTAAATCCCTGCCCCTGCTTCTTTTCTTGATGAACCTCAAGTGAATTCCCTATAGAGAATCTTAACAAAAAACCCAAGCTAATCTGTACTTATGGTAAATCAACTAAGGTCTTCTACCCTCAGAAGAGGAAGATGAGGATGTCTGTGCTATCGCTTTTCTCAATACTGTGCTGGAGCTTCTAGCCACAGCCATAGGGCACAAACAAAAAATATTAAAGGAATAAGTAAAACTGGTCTCATTCAAAAAGACATAATTGGGCCAGGGATTTAGCTCAGTGGTTCAGTGGCCTGCCTTGCAAGCGCAAGGACCCGAGTTCAATCCCCGGTACCAAAAAAAAAGAAAAAGACATAATTAACTGGCCGAAAATTTTAAGGGTTATGTACAAAGTTATTAGACCTAATAAATGAATAAGCAAAGTTATAAGACTGATATTTAAAATCAGTTGTGTTTCTGTATTACAGCAGTGAATAGTTAGTTGGAACCATGAAATAAAAATGTCATTACCATAACATCAAAAAATGAAATATTTATAGTGCATTTTATAGAATCCATATACAATCTACACATGCAGATAAAAATATTTAAAAGGACCTCCTAAATAAAAGGAATACATGTTTATAGAGCAGACAACTTGATATTGCTACAATGTCACTTCTTACTTTGATCAGCACTATATTCAGTGCACAAGCTAATCAAAAGCATAGTGGACTGCCTGCTTTGGTGGAAATTTACAAGCTGATTATAAAATTTGTATAGGAATACAGAGGGCTCTGAATAGTCAAAACAATTTTGAAAGAAAAAAGTTGGAAGATTTGCATAACCTGACTTCAAGACCTTCTAAAGCTGTAGAAAACATGACGGTTTTTGGTACTGGGATAAGGATAGAAATACAGGTGAGTGGTACAAATAGGAAGATCCAGAAATAGAGCCACAGAAATAGAGCAGTCAATTCATTTTAAACAAAGGTGCCAAGGTAACTAGAAAAGAAATAGTCTTTTCAACAAATATCACTAGAAAAACTTAGCAACCACATGCAAAAACAAATAAGTAAACTTCAACCTTTATTTCATACCATATACAAAAAGCAATGCAAAGTGATTCATAGATCCAAATGTAAGAGCTAAATATATAAAACTTCTAGAAGAAACTATAGGGGAAAATCTTAGTCACCTTGGGTGGAGGCAAAGTTTTGTAAGATAAGACATAAAAAGTTTCAATTTCATCAAAACTATAACTATTCTTTTTGAATGCACTACTGAGAGAAGACAAAAAAAGGACTAGGAGAAAGTATTTACAATCACTTCAAGAAATTCTATGAGAATTTATAAAAACTCAGTAGCAAGAAAAAAGTCCAGATAAATATATGGGCAAAAAATGTGAACAGCTCTTTCATGCAAAAATAAAAAAATAAAATAAAATAAAAAAAGAAAAAGAAATGGAAAATAAACACATGAAAAGGATTTGAGAAATGCAAATTAAGACCACAGTGAGATATATCACTTGGCACCCACTAGCATGCCTAAGGTGAGCACGACTGACTCTGCTGAGTATTGGCAAGAGTGCGAGCAACTGGAAGTCATCGCTGGTGGGAATGCAGAATGTTGCAGCCATCACTTTGGAAACAGTTTGACAGTTTCTTATGAATGGAAACATATCTACCTTAGAGCCCAGCCATTACACTCCCAGGTATTTACACAAGATAAATAAAAGCACATGTTCAAAGAAGATATTTTAATAATGGCTAAGCCGGCATCAATCCAAGTATCCAGAGATAGTTAATAGGTAAGCAAATGATATGCATCTGCACGTGCGCACCAAGGAAAGGGGATGGACTGCTGACACACGAATAGAACTGGAAGGGATCTCAGAAGCAATTTCAGTGACAGAAGCCAGATACAAAACACTACATGCTATGTTATTCTATTTATACTAAATTATAGAAAAGGCAAATATATAGCAAAAAAATATATCATTCTTTTTCAGGAATTAGGTTCAGGGGAAGGGATGTGCAAAGTGGAACC